TATTAAAAAATAAATGCAGGTTAAAGTATATCCCTGACAAAATAAGAAAATAAAATAAAAACTCGTTATAATGAGATTTACCTTATAAGGTGCTATTAGTTCAGTCCCCCAGGGTGAACATCGAGGGGAGCTCACTCAACTGACTCGTAGTTCTCATGCAAGTGCACTAGATGGTTCTGTAAGAACACTGTGTCAGATACGCAGACTTCCCCTGTAGAGCACACCACTGCCCTGTGCTCTACCCTCGGGACCGTTCTTCAGTTCTAGAGCACACCACACCTGCTGTGAGCTGCCATTTGTCCACGGGCCCATCTGCTAGAAGAGCTATTCTCCCTTCCCCACTGCTGCCTACTCTGCACTCAGCAGACCCTGTGGGTCTGGCTCACTCCTTCCTTTCTCCTTGAAGCCTCTACTGGGACTCCATGGGCCTCTGTCCATAGCACCTTCCTGGTATCAGCTGATATCTCTCCAGGGTCTGTCTACCCCCCTGAACCAAACACTGGTTTGTCATTACAAAGCCTCTTTGAGTTACAAGTCTTAAGAAAAAGAACCCACTTAATACAATTGAGGGGGGAGAAAAAAAGAAAAGAAAAGGTGGGAGAAAGGTAGGCATCAGAAATAGGGGAGTGAAGATGCAGAGGAACCCGAAGGTGGGAAGTGAGTTGGGCCACCACGCTGGACTGCAGACAGAAGCAAAGGAGGGACAGGAGCTCAGGCGTGTGTCTGGCTCTCTCGCTGCCTGGATGTCCTCACCCTCACCTCTGCTCCCCTCCACATACCTCCTCTGTCCTCCCTCTCACCACAGACCAGCTGTTTTCTCTCCCTCCATTGCAGGATGTCCCCGCATCCCAGATCAGCTGCTGGCAGAGACTGTCCAGTATCTCTCAGGCCTGATATTAAATTCCAGTGGGAATCTGATCCCACCTGGCTCAGGTGTCCTCTCCTGCTGCAATCAGCTGTGGCTTGGAATACAGCCCCCTGCATGGCAGTGCAGCCCAGAGCGCCTGGGCTCTGCCACTGACAGCCCAGGTTCCGATGCTGATTTCACCACTCAGAACCTGTTGTCACTCAGGGCATGCTGATGGAATTTTTTGTACTGTAGTTTTTTCTATCTGTAAAATGGGGATAATGGAAGCTAATCCATGTATTATTGCAAGAAGTCAATGGGATGTCTTACCTAAAACATTTAGCATGAGGCATATGTTGGTACACAGAACATCTTAGTGCCCATCCCCATGGGAATGATGAGGGCACAGGGAACAGAGACACTGTTGGGTTCTGTTAATGAGGCCCTAGAGGGCAGACCTGCTGTTCATTTGTCTTTGTGTTCCCAGAAGAGTGGCCGGCACACAGAAGGTGTTTAATAAGAAGGTGCTGGTTCAGTGAACAAAAGGGCGAACACTTAGACGTGGGCCAATTCAGGGGTCATTGATGGATTCCTTTAGCTTCTTGCTGTCTGGGCCACTTGCCCTCATTGGCCTCTTCAGGTCTTATTTGGATAACTGATGTGTCTGCATCTGTTTTGGGCTTGAGGCAGGATGCTGCTGATACAAGAGAGAATGAAAAATTCTAAAGACATCATGTGTGATTTATGCTACTGGGAAGTTGGGGGAAAATGTTAAAAAGCTTTTCAGTATTTGTACAGAAATTAAAAGGAAGGATAAGCTGCCCAGTGCACATTAAATTAGGAGTGAACTTCCTAAATGTCATTTAGAAGATGAAATATTCAACTCTGAGAATAGGCACTATCACAAGTTACAGATGAGCACTGCGACAAAATGAATCCAGAAACCGCCCCTCTCCAGGACAGTTTGTAGTCCAGGAGCATGTTGCCAAGAAACATAGAGGATACTAGGCTTTCCATTTATTTCTCAAGCTTTCTGGTAACATCGACTACAAGCTTGGGAGTCTGTTTCATCACACACACAAAAGTATCTTCGTTTACTTCCAGACAGAGCAGGTGCAGAGCTGTAATTGTAAGGCTGGGACAAGCTCCAGAAGGAAGAAGCCAGGCTGGTGAGATGGTCAAAGAAATGGCACAAACCTTGCCCATACCCAACCCAAAGAGGGCAGAGTGTGCCCGCCTTGTTCTCAGCTGTTCCATGTTCTGCAGAATGCTGTATACGTAGTAGACACTCAAAACTGTTGGGTCGATGAATGACAGAAAGAAAAGGCAGAGGGAAATCATTACGTAATCGTGTCTGCTCTAAGAATTCTCAATGATTGCATAAATGTCCAATCAAAAACTGCAGACTAGTCAGGCCTACAATGTGGGCACTGGCTTTGGGGAACCAGAGTTGTCTTTTAATCCTTTCTTCCCTGAGATTTTTGGTAGGAGACTGCTCTTCAGAGCAGCGGTTTCCAAACTTGTTAGGTCATGCAACTATCAGTAAAAATTCTAGAGCACGCCACATAATAGAGTGTATTTGTTCACAAGTCATACATTTGTCCTACTGCACTAACATATGAAATACATTATAAACTACCTTTAAAGGATGTTAAAAAAAATGGTGCTATAAAAGATATTTCAAATGCTTCCTAGTCATGATGATGTCATTTTTTCACTGCTTATATCACAAAGCACCATAGCTACTTATTGAGAGATTCAGCATCAATGATAGTGGATGTGGATGTAAATCCATATTTTAAAGTAGTCTTCTAGATCATTTCAATGTTTTTTTGGAACTCCTGTCAGATATTATTAATCATTGTTTTGACCTTGTGAATGACAAAGAGCCTGTGAGTTGGGTATCTCGTCTGTGCATTTTCCTGGAGTACATTTATATGTA